TGGCTTCGCTGACTTCAATCACTTTGTCAGTCCTGGATTTTTCTCCAGACTGAAGGAGAAAGGATCCTTGGCGAAAGATGTTTGGGGGGTTATTGGCAGCGCGTCAGTCCTTTCGCAATGTTCCCCTTTTCCTGATCCTTATGACTCTCGTCCAGACTGAGCGTTCGAGATTTGATGCTCGTAAGATTAAACCAGTCGGTCGGTATTCAGCATCTTAAGCTGCCTTTTTCTATAAACAGGAAATGGAGAAGGCTCAAGCCAAAGGCGAGGTCGCAGAAGCGGAGTTGAGGGCTTTAGAAATGGACGTCACAGGAAAAGTTAGTAACCTAACGTTCCCAGAGTATTTTCTTTCATGACCTGGTTGTCTAGATCATGCTCGCTTCATGGCGCGGTGCACGACTCGAAGTCATTCAGGTCCTCCGCGAGGTATATCGATTGATCCCGTTACATTTTTAGCATTTCTAAATATTTGTGTGACACAGGTGATAGATAATGTCTTGAAGGAACCCGGACAATCTGAAGTGGTACTCGTTAAGAGGGCGAAGGTGTGTATCAATATGCACCTCGAATATTCTGACTTATTTGTTCCTAGGCTCTTCTCATCACTGGTGCCATTTTCAAGTCTGCAGTGCCCGACGAATCCGACGAAGAGCGTCGTGAGCTGGAACGGTGCGTTACTAGTGTCTTGTGATGGTATTCGTGAAACCTAAATATTTCGCTATTCGGAAGGATGGTACACGAGGCGGCTCAACCCAAGGGCAAAAAGACTGCGACAGCTGCCGCAAAGGCCAAGCGAGAAGAAATGCTCAAGCAAGCACAGGCTAATGCTGCACATGCTACTGCTTAGAGCCCACTACGTCCTTGATTTTCAATGATTTCCAATCTACCTCTCCCCTCGCCTTGGGCACGGGAATCTTACTACTCTGATGGGCCTTCCTATTCAGCACAGTCATACTAATCATTCATACCTGCCTATTATTGACATCTAAGTAGTTCTTCATCTCATACCAAATGTTTCATTGATCTGACGCTAAAACTATAATATGATAAGCCTCCAACAGTACATATCACAATAAGTAATTTGGGAATATATCCAGTCAAGACAGAGCCGCCCTTGCTGCTTTGCTATTTTCAAAGGATGCTTTGACCTGCATGAAACGAACGACGATAGAGTTCAAGAAGAGTGGCTTGGATTTTGGAATGAATGACCATTACCTTGTTAAAAAACGCAGAATCCGTGAGTACATGGTACCCTGTCAAAGCCAGGCCCTTGGTAATGGCCATCGTAGCTGAATGAGCAGCTTCGGAGATAGCGGCTTTCGCGAACGCTGCTGTGTGATTCCCACCCTGAGGTTCTGTGGGGATAGCTGAAGATGTTAAGGGAATGCGCAAATCCGCAGGATAAGCTTGTGGACAAATGGAGAAGAGAATGAAGACGCATTACCGAATGCAGGATGAAGTGCTGGGAGAGCTTCAAGGGAGGATCAACCGTGAATTTTTAACGACAAGGTGTTGGTTGATAGATAACGCACCGTAGGAGACGTTTCCCTGTAAATAGTTAATGCAATGATTTAATATTGTCACGAACGACTCAGAAAGAATACAAACAAAGTCTGTGGATGCGGATGTCCCGGCCTCCAGCGTCACCAGACCGTATCGACTGCCCACTGTGTCAGCAAAAGCTTTAGCTGGAAGGATGGCAACCGCCCATCAGCAATTAACGGGCAAACAGGAAAAAAATTGAGAGTACCCAACACTGGGTTTTGATGAAGGTCAAAATATGGACTTTCTTGCTTGATTTCTATTCTGCACCCAGTTGCTAATGCTGCTGCTCTTGGAACCAATATGTCAATAGAGTGAAGATGCGAACTCCATCTTGGTCTGCTTACTCGAGACAATTTTGGACACGTTTGACGAGAATACCCAATTCTGCAGACGTAGGGGCCCTGGCAAGCCAATGCATCTTGGAGTAATCTGGAATAACTGTGCGGTGTCATATCGAGTAAGAGATCAATGAATTTTTATAGTGCGGGGGACATGTACTGTTGGGGACCCAATCCTTTCCCTGCACGACACCATGAACACGGTGGTCTGGTTTCATTTGCTGTCGCAGCATAGAGATGCTCGAATACGCAAGAAAGGCAGCATCCAAAGCATTGGTTCCTTCCCTGTGTCGAAGTTATGAGAGATCTCGTACAACGTCACTTTACATACCATGGTGCCCCTCCTGCGTGGGCACTTGAATAATATTTGGGCATTGAGGTTGAGAGTTATTTGAAATAAAGTTCGGAGACTGACGCATGTCCAAAATATTCAACTTGAATGCTCTCCATCGCGTTGGAACTACCTATGCTAGTGGAGTGGGGAGGTCCAGCACCTGGATGACACCTGAGTAAAGCTCAGCGAACATCCAAAAACAGACCAGACCAGGACGAACATAAGGCAGATGTCCATGTCGTCGTATGCTCCACGTTCCAGGAGGATTACCTTCCCACCTCCGCCTTCTTCCGCTGGGAATGAACTCCATCAGAGGGTGCAATAGCGGAAACGTAAGACCGAGTTTATTACCAGGAGTCCCGAGAAGCACGATTTTCCCTGAGGTGTGAGGGCGAGCTTGGAGTGCGACTTTGAGAGCGATGGCAACTCCAACTCCGCTGATAGCTATGAGGTTGTGGCCACACCCATGCCCTATGGCTGGTAGGGCGTCCATTTCGGAGTTGATCCCAATGACTCTGCCACCCCTTCCTTGAGTGTACTCTGCTCTCCAGGCAGTGCTCAGTCCCAGATAATGTTTCGTAACTCTGAACCCTTGCGCGGCCATGAAGTTTGTCAACAAATTATGGGCGTATCTGAAAATAAGGGATCAGAATAAAGTCAACCATGGAACAAAAAAACTGCAAGCCTTTCGTGGAACGCGATTTCAGGGTGACCTTTTCTTTCCGATTAGTGGCGAATTTAAAAAAATTGGACTTGAAAACCTACCATGGATTTTCAAACTGAGGTCTCGGAGGGCCGGACTAGAGGTATCCAGTGCGCATTCAATGATTGCAGAAACATCGTTGTTGCTGGTTTGTAACGATGCATAAGATGGCGGTAAGTCGTCTCCTGGAGTCCACCACTCGTTTGGTGAGGAATAAGAAAAGTCACAGCGGGGACTAAAGTAGCGAATTTCCTGGGACAATCGCGTTAACACCAGAGAAACCACACTGTTATCTTCCCCACTTTTTCCGGCAAAGCATTACTATTCTGGTCTACGGAGCGCGCCACTTGACGAGATTGACGATCGACGCTGGAACTCGGCGTCAGAAAACGCGTTTTACGCGCGAAAAGGGTGCCAAAGCATCCGGCTTGGATGTCATGCTCGGTCATGAGGCAGAGGGGCGTTAAAGGAAAGGTGAGAAATAGAGATGGCCGGGACCGCACAACATGCGGAAGACCATTATATGTTCATCAAGTACTAGGGGCTGAGAAGGAGCCGATAAGTTCGGGTCAAGGTCACATTGATCAAGATTCCCATGTTCACAAGGATTCACAAACAGTGGTAAGATTATGTGTAAGCATTTAAAGTATATAGGCCGGGCAAAGTGTCAGTGTATGAGAATAGGTTGTAAAGTAGGTTTGTGCCCTATGGTTTGTCTCCGACACCAAATAATCCACCGATCCTCTTCCAAAAACCAACCCGAGGCATGTACGAATCATGGCCACTCAAGCCAACCGTGATGGAGCCTGTGCGTGAAGAGAGTTCGCAGAAGGACGCCTCCCGAGTGTTATCGGAATCATTGGAGTTTGGTTGGGCGCCAATCATGAATATCGTTTCCCGCTCTGACGTTTTCACGGTTTTTATGATAGCGGCCAAGGCGGGTAGAATAATCATGTCGCCTTTCCTCGTCGTAAGCTGAACCACACCAGAGAAACCCTGGGGCAGAAAGAGAACAACGTTTCCTAGAAGAAAGGTTGCGGTGAGAATCCTTTCGCATGGCCGGGAGAATTTCCTACCATGCCGAGAGGCGACGTCCAAACTTAAACGAGGTCTTGAGGGTAAAACAGGAAGCTAAAAATGCTGAGTTGTTGTAACATTGCCAAATTTGATGACATACAATGTTAATCTTTATATCCCCCGACTTGCTTGAAACGCTGACGTTGGCCTTCGGCGCCTTGTGAACATCGCCGGTCGTACCGAGGTCAAGCTCAACTCTATTGTTGCGGGTACGGAAAGATGCGTGTGGTAATGGCCGTTTTGATTTGTGTTTACCTTTGCCGACAGGTAGTACTAGTGGGTCGATGTAAAATGTACCTGGGAAGTTATATGACGGTATAAGTGAGTTAGATAGCTCATAAGCAACGCAGAGTGTACCATGGATATTGTGCTTGGGCTCAAATACGTGCACCTGGTCGACAGACGGCGGTGGATGTGAAGGCAAAGGAGGTAAATCCGCATTGGTTCTGCTCTGGATATTTGGATAATGGCGACCGTGGCCGTCAACATCGACGTAGGCAGGAGGATTGTCGTTGACCATCTGAAAATATTCCGGGCATTTATTTTGGTTTGGAAGGTGAGAACTAGCAACATACTTTAGCTGCCTTAGGCCCCTTCGAGGTCATGGAGGAGGAAGTGCCACTGGGAGTTTCGATGATCATTGGCGGTAAATGGCTGGCTAGAGAATATATGCAGATTCAACTAATAGGGTCTGAAACTGAGACCGCAGTCGAAAGCTACCGGTACCAATTCATTTTGCAATTGGTTATCATCAAGCTGTGCTGCAGTGCTGCAGCTGGTTTCTTATGCTGCGGGATTTGATGCATGTAGTTGCTTGAGAAGGATTTCTATCAATCTGATGACCTTCCGTAGCCATGATTGTCAGGCCAATTGTGCTTGCCTAGATAGGTGTGAGGGGGTAGCTGTATGGATTCCTGGTCAAATGTATCTTCGCAGTTTTATCAACAGGATAGGATTTCGCAGCCCGGCTTGTACTATTTTCACAGACTGTCGGCCTTTCATTGGCCTGGTGGTCTAGTCGCATGATTCCTCCTTTGGGCACAGAGTGTTTGATTGGAGGAGGTCCTGGATTCAATTCCCGGTCAGGCCCTTTTTGTTTCTGCAAACAAGTTACAAAAGTTAAGCGCCCGCCTCGTATATTGTCAATGGAAATTACGTTCATTGGCCTGATGGTCTAGTAGTATGATTCCTTGTTAGGGCGCTTGTCGCGAAATTTCGAGGAGGTCCCGGGTTCAATTCCCGGTTAGGCCCTGTTACTTTTTGTTTTATTTTCCTTTACTTATGTCATCCGCTTATTAAGTAATAAACCTCCCTTTGTCAACTTGTCTGTAATTAATGACATCGCCTTTGGCGCCAAGTAGAGCCAAATAACTGCGCCTAACTTTGTCGAATTGCTGTTTTGGAGATTCCCGTTTACGAGCCCGGACCATGGCTTCCGTGGCACAATCGACTCAGACTGAGCGTCTGAACCAAATATTCAATGGTTTGAAGAACAGAAATGCTGATATCCGATTACAATCAGCTGAAGAGTTACGACGATTTGTGCGTACGCGGTATTAGGGTCGCCCTCCCAGCTGATTCGAGTGGAATTCAGGTTTCAATGTCGATAGCTGAGATGTCCTCTGACGCCGCCTCGAAACTGTGGGACGACAATATTAACCGAAGGTTGTTCGAACTCACACATAGTCAGAATGTTGTTGAGGCGTTTGGGGGCTTATTGGCCATAGGTGCGCCAATTCTGGCATTAGCTGAGATAGAGAACTTACGATTCTTTGACCGTTCACAGAAAAACTCATTGATATCGACCAAGAGGAGACCATAGAATCGAAACGGAATCTATTCCGTTTCTACAACTACGTCAAGCACCTTCTCCCCAATCACGACATGAATCTCATGCTAGCCGCATCGAAAACCTTGGGACAGATTGCAGAAATTGGTGGATCTGCATTTGGAGAGCGCTTCATGGATTTTGAAGTACCAGCGGCCGTAGAACTTATGCAGCCCGAGAAACCAGAGTCGCCCCGGTATGCCGGCGTCTTGATCCTAAAGGAGCTCGCAAGGAACAGCCCAACCTATTTCCACTCGCATATTGGAATCGTTTTCGACAACATTCTCGTGCCTCTTAGAGATCAACGCGTCATAGTTCGGGAAGGTGCTGCAGAACTGCTCGCAGCATGCTTGGAGATTGTCACGCAAAGGGAACGACAGGCGCGGACGCCATACCTTTCCAAGATTCTGCAAGACGCCCAGATGGGTCTAAAGCAGACCCAACCTGAAGTTATTCACGGGTCTCTGCTTACCTATCGCGAGCTGTTGCTCCATGCTGGAATGGTAAGTCCCCATTACGCTCGATACCTCAGTTCTTATCATAAAGACCTGTAGTTCGTGAAAGAAAACTTTCTCGACACAGCAGACCAGATCCTTCGGTTTAAAGCGCATAGAGATCTTCTCGTTCGGAAAATGGTCATTACAATGATACCCTCCTTGGCTGGTTATGATACACAAACGTTCACAGAACATTTCCTTCATAAAGCCATGGCACACCTCCTGACACAATTGGAGAAACCCAACGAACGCTCATTCGGTAAATTCAACGTTATTTTGCTTCAAAATGATGGACTTACGATTATGACAGCCTTTATTGCCATTGGACACACTGCCACCGCCGTTGGAAGCGACATGAAGCCGTTCCTTGATTCTATTATGTTGCAAATAAAACAGGGTTTACAAGGCCGAGGGTAACTTTTCATTTTCATTTCCGCGTATGTACACTCATCAACAACATCGCAGTCGAAAGAACGCTCCTTCTGAGGAACCAATATTCCAATGTGTCGGCATGCTTGCTTCGGCTGTTGGACCAAATTTAACGAAGCTTATGCATGACCAACTTGACCTCATGCTCGCATGTGGTCTCAGCGAACCCCTTGTTCAAGCCTTGGTGGCCATCGCTAAATTCATTCCTCCCCTGTTGAAGACGATTCAAGGCGAGTAATTTTACTCTCCATGGAAGGAGATCCTTAAATCGATGTTTCTAGATAGGTTGTTAGACCTTTTATCGAATATTCTCAGCGGGCAACCATATAAACCGCTTGGCGCGCCGCTTGCAAGAGGTGAGATGACTGCGATAAACCGTGATTTGAACCCCACGCAGGTCAGTAATAGGTCATATTTTAGCTAGTAAATGAACCGACAACCGATTTTCAGATCAATGGGACAGACAGAAGTCCAGAACTGATCACCCTAGCGCTGACCACTCTGGGGTCTTTCGATTTTAGCGGTATTGCTACCCTTTCATCGGCTTCTTGACCCATTTTGATCGCTGACTTTACCAGGGCATGTCCTCAATGAATTCGTCCGGACATGTGCATTACCCTACCTCGAGGATGATAACTCCGAAGTTCGAAGGGCCTCCGCTTTGACGTGCTGTCGCCTCTTTGTCAACGATCCAATCTGCTACCAGGCCAGCAGTCACGCAATAGAGGTTATCAGTGATGTTCTCGACAAACTCCTGACAGTTGGAATTGCCGATCCGGGTGTGTTTTTCTGTCCGTTTCTGCCAGTCGTTTTGCTCAAGTACAACTCCATTAGATCCTACCATCCGACAGACGGTTCTGTCTTCGCTTCATGAACGCTTCGATAAACATCTTGCCCAGGCAGAGAACGTTAGATCTCTTTTTATCGCGTTGAACGATGAAGTTTTCGAAAATCGTATCACCGCTGTGGCATTAATCGGACGGCTCGCCAAACATAACCCAGCCTATGTCATGCCATCATTGCGCAAAGCATTGATTCAGCTGCTTACCGAACTCGAGTACTCGACAGTGATGTAAGGATATCTTCCTCTATCTTTATCTAGTTCGCTGACGAACGTCAAAAGGCGAAATCGGGAAGAATGCACTCGCCTGCTAACCCTTCTAGTCAGCGCCACCCAGCGTTTGATCAAACCTTACGCATTACCAATGTTACGGGTACTTCTTCAGAAAGCGAATGATTCCAACCCAACTGTCGCAGCCAATGTTCTCATGTGCCTCGGGGAATTAACTTGTGTTGGAGGCGAAGATGCGATGTCTCACATCGGAGAACTCATGCAAGTCATAATTTCAAGGCTCTCGGATCCATCATTGATCAAGCGTGATGCTGCCCTTCACACCCTTGGTCAAGTTTGCTCAAGCACTGGCTACGTCATCACACCTCTCGTGGAATATCCTCAACTCCTACCCCTGTTGGGACGCATTCTCCGAACAGAGAATAACCAGTCTGTACGTCGTGAGGTTGTCAAAGTCCTTGGTATTTTAGGCGCCCTGGACCCTTATCGCCGAAAGGTGGTTTACCAATATTTTGACCTTTTTATTTTGTATATCTAACCCATCCACAGAGTAGACCAGAGGACGATACATCAAGCGAAACCGCTGTAGCTGCCGTGAATCAAGTTCCTGTCGCACAGCATACGGCAACATCCACATCCGACGATTACTTCCAAACCGTCGTCATTACTTCTCTTTTGTCCATCCTCAAGGACCAAGCTCTCAGCAGCCACCATCACACGGTCATCGAGGCGATCATGTCCATATTCAAGACACAGGGATTGAAATGTGTCACTTTTTTGCCCCAGGTATTTCCCTTGACATGTTCTTTAAGACATTTTGACAAACATCAAGCTCCCTTAGATTATTCCGGCCTTCGCAGCTGTTACTACTGGTTCAGCTGCTCGTCTGCAAGAATTCCATCTACAACAGCTTGCTATCCTGATTGGTATAATCAAGCAACATGTTCGAAATTTCCTCCCGGACATCTTCAGCCTTATCACTGAATTATGGGAGAATGCGGCACTTCAGCTTCCCATCGTGGCTTTGATTGAGGCCTTGGGCAAAGCACTGGACGCCGAATTCAAACCCTTTCTCCCAGCTATCCTCCCTCTGGTCCTGAAAGTATTCGACGGCGAACTTACAGAAAAGAGGATTAACACCCAGATCAAGGTTTTCGATGCATTCCTCACGTTTGGGGCAAACATAGAAGAATATCTGCACCTCGTTATACCCATAATCGTCAAATCATATGAACGTCAGGACATCGTCGAGAGAGCTGATTCCTTGACTGCTCTCCGCAAACGAGCGATCCAAACTATCGACGGTTTATCGCGACGGGTCAACTTCTCCGATCATGCATCACGCATCATTCACCCTCTTGTCCGTGTTCTGGAATGCGGAAACAATGAGTTGCGCATGGCAGTTATGGATACATTATGTTCTCTCGTCATCCAACTTGGCTCCGATTTTGCGATATTTGTGCCCACTATCAACAAGGTAATGCCATATGTCTTCGTATACACACTCTGGCTTTTGAAAACTGATTCATCTTGAAAGTGTTTGTTACGAAATCGCATCCCGCATCCCAAGTATGAAACCTTGATTTCCAAGCTTCTCAATGGCGAACGTCTCCCTCAGGAGGCTGGTGTTCTTGAATTGCTGTGTGTTTTATCACTACTGCCTCGTTTTTAAAATTGATCCGTGTTCAGGTTGAGTGAAAATTCAAAAGCCCCAGAATTCTCTGCCCCAGCCGAGGCCACCAAGATGAATGTGAACCAACAGCATCTCAAACAAGCATGGGATACCACCCAGATTTCCACCCGGGAGGATTGGATCGAATGGATGCACAGAATTGGGGTTGAATTTATGAAGGAGTCTCCCTCACATGCTCTTCGTGCATGTATGAGCCTGGTCGACATTCACCCCCCATTAGCAAAAGAATTGTTCAATGCGGCCTTCTTGTCATGCTGGGGTGAATTATATGATCAATATCAAGTTCGTACTCTTTATTTTCATTGTCAACCGTTTATTCTTACCATTATACAGGAGGACCTTGTCCGGGCAATAGAACTGTCCATCACCTCGAGCACAGCTCCCTCAGAACTCATCCACCGACTTCTGAATCTGGCGGAATTTATGGAACATGAAGAAAAGCCACTGCCCATAGAACACCGCACTCTCGGGGAATATGCAATGAAGTACATGGCGTACGCAAAAGCACTTCATTACAAGGAGTTGGAATATTTTTCCGAATCATCCCCAGCCGTAATCGAAGCCTTAATTT